ACCTACTGTAGCATGCTTCGTGTACCATCGCAAGTACATACGTACCATGTGCACGGTCCCATTAATGGGGCCTGACCTTCGACATCTCGTAAAGGCAGATTTCACCCCGGTCAGCTACGCCGTCTCGTTTCGTTCTTAATGAGCAATAACGTCGGTTGAATATAATCCGCTTCGTGAGAGCTCGTAAAAGTATTTTTTTTCGTTAATTCTCTTATACTTGATTTATTTTATTGAAAATGACTTCAAAGCCAAAATAATTGAATCATTTTTAGTTACATGAAAGATTCCCAAGAGAAGCGATCACTGCGCGATTCGTTGAGCCGAAATTATTTGTGGTTGCTCGCGAAGGGTCTCGATATATTTTATGAAGCTTCAATATTCCCGGTCACTTGTTCAGAGCCATAGGGAATTTTCGTGGTTCTATCATCGAGTTGGTATTGTTTTTGAAAAATGAAACGCGAAGGTTATCCAGCCATACTCGTTTCCCTTCCTCTGCGTGTAAAGAGCACCCTCTGCTACCTGTATATATGGGAGAGAAGCTCTATTGGAGTAAAAGCTGCGGGGACTGGGGGAACGATGGTGGAGCGAGGTTGGGTGGATCGATCGGCGCCCCGGTATTTTCCCTGGGAATGGAAAAAGACAGGAGACATGACAAAAATAGGAATTAAAGAAGGAAGATGCAAAGAAACAAGGAACGAGAAAGTAAAGTATAAGGAACTCCCCAAGGTTCTCAGTTCTTTATTTCTTCCGTGAATATTACTATCGCGACAAGCATCGCACTGTAAAGAATGATGAAGAAAATATTTTTAAAAAAATGCAAAAAAAGGTCACTTGAAATTCAACAAGAGAAACTGTAATTCGTCACTAGCGATGTTTGTCGATTTGTAACTGCGTGAAATTTGAAATTATGTTACGACAAATCGACCGTGAATGGTGGAACCTGCATAAAAATAAAAATGCAAAACGAAAGGAAAAGAAAAAGATAAAAAAATAGTAAGCTGATCGTACGAACCTCGAACGCCGACTTTAACCGATCTCCAGTTAACGAGGATCCTTTCGTATTTCTCTGGCGTGGCCGATTCTGCCAGACGGTTATAATAGCCAAAGTGCATAGGTAGTCTTAGGGTTAGGTTAGGTTAGGCTGATACGTCTCGCAAGAAGCCTAGGGGCCCTAAAAACGGGGTGGTCCCTATAATTCTCAGAGAATTAAAAAAAAAACAAAGCTTAACCCGTGATCTCGAGGAGAAGAAGTGAGAGAGTAAAGGACAAAGTGCTAAAACGAGAAGAAAAAATAAAACATTAACCATACGAGATGGAGTTTGAAAATCAAGATCCATTGATCCTGCCGAAAAGGCCGTTTGTCAAATAAAAAGGAAACAACATACGAACACGCCAAATTTTATGTCTTTCGAGTATCTGCTCGAAATAGAGCTATGGCTTTGTAGTAGTTTCGTGTATTCATTGCATCTACTCTTTAATTCGTCCTGTGCGCCTCAACGGATTATCCGTAGTTACGTAAAACCGGATATACATATATCCTAGAGACAAAGACACCTGAAACCATTGGAAACTTCAAACACCTTTTGTCAGCATTGTAATGGCGAACGTATGGGAAGTCCACTTTGCGAGGTGGACGATCCCACGCGTGGACAAGGTATACGTGACTTCCGGTAAGGACGCAAGATGGGATGAAGTGTGGGAAGTCATAAAGCTCTGTTCACAATGAACACGATAAACAATTGTTAATTACCAGGTACGGCATCAACGGAATAAATATAACTGAAAAACAAAAAACTTCACATCCTTCAACGTCATAGACGTATAAATATCGCCCATATGGCCGATCCGTAAATTTGATTTGATGTCTATTGTAGTTCCTGACGTTAAGATACGGTAACCCAAGTCACGTATTCCATCTATAAGGGGAGTAAGTCAAGGGTAAGTTGAATCGAATCTTATAGCCATATATTGTCTTGCTTTTCCTTTCTCTCTTTCCTCTTCTCTTTATTTAACTGTCCTAGCTCTTGTTAATCCATTTATACAGCGTCGAAGCCCATCTAACGATACTAGGCCAAGCCGTATTTGGCACTCTGACCTCTCTTAGTAAATCTTATTACCTGGACGTTCAGAAGCAAAGAATAAATTTCATCGTTTAGCATAGGAGTATCGTTTGCAATATGGTTGGTCAGGATAATTAGAGGAGCCCGAGAGCCGTTCTGGTGCGAACTACGTAAAGTGTCAATCTATGTACAGGAGATCGATGAAGTTCAACGGTGTACTGTCCAGTGCGTGCTTATAGCACATGACGGTGTTTACTAGGGCCTCTCACTGTTACAGCAATGAAATAGAAATCTATTCGAACGAGCTCCTACTGCACTAGACGCATATTATATATTATATAGACCCACACACGTGCATCGTACGTTACAGAGATAAATATGGTAGATGAGAAATATAAAAAAGGAACATCGAAACGGACAGAGAACGCGTTTGCTTGAATTATTTATTGGCAATGGATTCACCTTACGTATAGATACTGTGCTGTAGTACTGCAGCATAAAGGGTAAGTGGCCGGTGTAGGTCGAAGAGGTGGTGTAGGTGGAGGAAGAAAAAAGACAAAGAAAAGAGAAACCAAGAGAAACACGAGTCTCTACTGTACAGGAGGATCCTAGAATATTCTCCAGAGGTCTTCGATATATTTGAGTAATTTAAGCGTAGACGTATCTTCAAAGGTCAATAATGAACAGGATGAAATTAACGTAGCAAATTTGATATTTATAGTCCGGGTTACGAGATCAGACTCCGATTTTGACATATGGAATATAACCTATTTTTGACGTTTAACGGATGCAGTCCAGCTATGGAAATAATCGTTTCTTGTCCCGTAAAAAATTATTTCACTGAACTTTAACTGAGTATACTTAACCCTTAACTACACAGGTCCGACTTTAGGAAGATACTTTGCAAGGTAAGGTCTATGAGAGCTAACTTCTTGGAACTGGATTGCGACACCATTACGACAAATAGAATAATTCGATAGTAGTTTCACGTTGCTCTCACTTCAAATGAATTTATCGACCAGGTATCAGATAATAATTGTGTAATAGGTTTTCTTAATTTATTGAAAATTTACATGGCAACAAATTCGACAGGATAGCAAAACATGAAATTGGTGAGGTCTGTAAGACCGCACATGTGTAATTATGGGTTAAATCAGTTGTAACAATGCTAAATGTTTTATATTTCATTTTTTGTTTTCCTTAACCCAGGAGTAAACGGGTGGGGTCATTCGGACATCCCGATTAAATACTTTTCAAATGGAAAACAAAAAATCGCTCAACCATTTCCGGTTTAAGTAATTTTGAAATCGGATTCGGTGGCTCGACTATACAACATCGTGACGCGTGAAGGAGCATGCGAACTTTTTGTTGTCGTTAAAGCGATTGTGAGAAATGACGTAAGATGATTATAAGACAGTAACTGTTATTACAAGTATTTTAATATCCATTGCCTAATATATATAGACACGTGTAAGAAGATTCTCCTTGTAAGCCATTCCTTTAACCGAAGTCCTCGTTTATCACTAATTTTCTTTTTTCCGTATTCTACTTTCTACAAATTTTTTTTGGTGGTTCCGTATCCTTCTTATATCTTCTATTCTTGGTTCCGCTTCTTTTCTACGTCTCTTAGCCGCTAACCACCACGTCGGCCATTTTCGCAGAGTTTTCCGCTCACCGGAGCGATAAATCTCCCTGCATTATTCATCGATCTTCCGTTCTGCAATACGACTTTTCAACGTATAAAATTTCGTACAGACGCTAACGGATTCCGCGTGCTTAAGCAGTACGTTGAAATTGTGGACGGGAGTAACTTTAGGACTGAATTGAGATAGAGAGGAGATCGTAAAAGTCTCAGAAAGTTTATAAGAAAAAAAAAAGAAGGAATTTCGTAAGTTTTAATGTCAGCCTCTGACGTCGTAATTTTTCGTGAATAATTTTGTTTTTCTTCAAGCTAAATTGTTGATTGCCAGTTATCTGTTTAGTTGATACCGATTGTGAGTCACGCTTTTCTTCATGAATTCTAAACGGGGATTTGCTATCGTCAGTCGGTCCGTTATTCAAAATAGATACGTCACATCATAGCGTCAGTAAGTACCTCCTTCTGGAGTGCTCGAGGATCTCGTTCATTTTTCAAAACCGTAAAATTCGAATGAGTTTCCATTTTGTTTTCTTTTTTTTTTTATATTCACTTCTTTCTCATATTTTTGTCGCCCCGGGCGGGCTGAATGTCTCTTCATTGAAGATAAGTTTGGTTTGTTGCTACCAAGGAAAATAACTCGGAATTATTAGAGCAAAACCGATACGATTTACCATGGTCTCCATCTTGATTCCCTATGGTGTTCAACCCTCTGTTGTATACGGGTCTGGGACAATTGACATCTTTGTCAATTTAAAAATACAAAAAGTAAGCATAAAAGAAACTGAGTCTTACGACTCTTTTTACGAGGACAATATGAAGGATTTTATGAAGCTTCTAAAACGACCAGTCAAGCAGGTGTGGACTGATAGTTAAAGTCCCTGAGTTGTGAAAAAGAGGAAAAACGAAGTGTAAAGAAAATACGTAACCAACCTGATCTGCCTCGGGAACGAATTAGCATTTCAATTAAACGGTCAGCTGACAATCTCGATAATTTAAATCCTATTGTCTAACTCAATATAAAAGGATACTTCTTCACTCGATAAAAACGCAATTTAAAACGATTACTCGTAGACCCAACGTTGCTGGCGGCCATTTCGATACACCTAGATTTATATCGATTCAATTCGTCTGATTGCCAACAGATGGAATCTTGTCGCTCGATCGCGCACGATTTCCAATTTCCACAATAAATTTACGAATATTCCCACCCGGTGAGAACGCTTTCGAAAATCCTTGAATAGTCATTGGGATACAATTAAAGAAAAATAGAAATTAAAAAAAAAATTAAAATCAAATCTCACCTCCATGCTCTCTGCGTGGTCTTCATCTCTCCTTTGGCCTGTCGACTGGATGTCACTTCCTCTCGCAAGATTTATCCATGTAATTCGTTAAAGATCATCGCCATATCACTATTCGACACTCAACACACACTTCTGAGAGTATCGCCAAACGAACGGATAACCCTTTGTTTGTTTTTTTACTTCCTTGTTGTTTTTCACTTTAACATGTATCACAAGAAAATTAATATTGGTTGCGCATGTCACGTTATTGTCGGCAGCGTCAGACAAGCAGGCAGCCAACCAAGCAGATGGACAGATCTGACAGGTTAATAGCAACCAATGCAAGAAAACACCAAGATTCGTATTGAGAACCTTCTGTTTTCGCAGTTAACAGTACACTCGGCAAGTTTATTAGTCACAGGCACATGGATCGTAAATATTGCCAATAGATAGTCCAGTAGGCAGGACCTAACAAACAGAATGTTGATAACGTTAATTGGTGGGATCACACAATAATTTGTGGGGAAATAGGATAAATTTTAAATATATCTCTATCGATTCAATTGGCAGTTTACTCGAGAAATCATACCACGAATCATGTATTAAGAATGAAAACTGATTCAACGAATTATTTATGACGATTCATGCAAAACACAACACTGTATATTCCTATCTATTTCTGTATATAACTATATATGGACTTCTTGGGCGATTATTCTGTGTCAGTCTGTAGCCTCCTGGCAAGATAGATGTTTATATATGCACTCACTTTCTACATGCTGACAATGCGAGAGAATTTGACTCGTTGAATAGATAGAATTCACAAAGCACGTTCATCCGTTCCATAAGAATCAATATAGGTACGAAAGAAAGAAAAAAACTTGGAAGTGTTTTGTTAGACCGAAAAATCTGAGTAGGCCCATGACAGGATGGGCCATGGGGTGTTGGCGGGAGGATTCCTTTCCTTCTCTCGAGGTGTGCCGGCAGGTGCAAAAGAGGCCTGTTTACAGAGGAATCGGACCCATCGCGCCGAAGGGTTTTACTCCGTGATACTCGCAGGTACTATACATATATTTGAATATACGCTGACTCGGCGTTAATGGGACTAGTACTCTTCTTGGTTGTTGTGAGTTTTCGTGGACCAGGATATACCCTTGGCGCTCACAGAGTCTGTCGTGAAGTTGTTTCGTCGGGGGCCCGCGAGTATGGGTCCCGTTCTTCGAGAGATCAGAGAGAAAGGAGGAGACGAGGAGAAGCTCGGGGAATAAATAAGAGAGAAAGAAGGGAAGAGCAAGAGAAACTCTGTACGAGTGAAAGAAGGATAGTAAGAGAAAGAGATGGAAAGAGGCTCGTAGCAAGAGAACGCGAGGAAGTACTGTTAGACGGGGCCTAAAGGCCCACCGGCTTAAAGGATACTGACGTTAAAGTTCTCCTTAACTTCGCGCAAAGTTCAACTATTTTCTCCTTATGTATATTATTCACCTTTATTTCGACGATGCAATTATCCGTTGTTCTCTTCTGAAATTCTGCGATGCCACTGAAGTTCGGTCGCCAAATATAATTTATTCGATTTATTCGTCTGTCGCTTTATTTTCCTTTGGAATTCGTGCTGACAGGATAAAAGATCCTGAAAACTCGTGTTACGCTTCCATACACCTGATCGTTCTGCTGCTTCACTGATTGTCGAGGACTTTCTCCTCTTGGAGGCTTTACGTGTAATTATTTCAGAAAAAGGATCTTCTCAACTTCTCTCCTATTGTCGTTTTCATTGTTAAATTGTCAATAACGATACGTGTGTTCTCTATTCCTCGATAATGTGTTTTACTTATTGACAGTCTTGTTACCATTGGTGAGGTTCTTTATCCTTATCTTCCACGGTATCTTCCATCCCATCTCACAAATAGATCCACGAAAGAAACACCAAAATCACATATCACGAGTAAAAACAACAAACAAGAACAAACTCGAAATCAATACTATATCATCTGGTGCGAATAACACAAAATCATCTCACCAAAATATTTCTCTATTCCACAATATATACGACGAAACAAAAAACACGAATGAATTAAACAATCACTGTACTGTATGCTCCAGACGAGAGTGCAAATAATCCCTTTTTCTTCCTTAATTAACCTCGCAGTTCCATGACTATGTTACTGGCAATTTATCTTCGTTTACTAAAATGACAAGAAGGTACCTCGTGCATTCCGATGTTCCAAAGGAATTGCACGAAATTATTCACAAAACTTGGTCGCACAGTGACACACGAGTCTTACTTTTACAGGACCGTTTTCAAATCATCGTATGTCCCAAAATAACATATATCTAAGAAAACAAAGTCAAATTTGAAAATCCACTACGTTCCAGCGACATCGAAGTTTGCGGCTCGACTGACTGGCAGCTCAACCGTCTCCCTCCATACGACGAAGCTGGCTCCGTATTGGCCATAGCCGTAGTAGGGTTGCCAGTCGCCCTGTGCTATCTACGATACTCGTCAGGTAAGTAGCATATACTATGTCTACATATCCGTACACACGTTGGTTCTACTCGTTCCTCATACGCGTGCATCGAGTCACATGTATGAAAACACTATAGCCTGTAGTAACGTAGCATATTGCGCCTGCACGATGCACGCATCTTTCGTCGGCATTGAACTCCAACGACCAACCGGTTCCCATAAGTTTTTTTCGAAAAGTATCGCGCCCGATTGTTAAATCGTATAAGATTCATCATTGACCATCAATAATTAATACGAATCATTTGATTTCTGAAAAATGATTGATTATTAGGATAAGCTCGTAGGAATACATCCGTTTTACTAGACTACACTAGATTAGATATATCTGACAATGAGATAATGTTAGCGATTTCGAAAGTTCGTGAAATATATAAGGAATAAATTATATCTTTTGTGAATTTCGCAACTATTAAAATGCTTATGCTTATTAGTTTATACTATGGGCTTTAAACAGTAAGTACGTAAAAAATTATAAGAAATTAATAAAACGATAAACAACTAACGGGTTATAACGTGGATTAATATTTAAAAGGATTATAGTATATCTCCATGAATATTCTGCATACTGTAGGTATACCTATTCTTGCAATACGTATATTATACATATAATTAGATACAATAAAAACGTAGGTGACAACAGTTTTTTAATAATTTATTAATTAATCATTATATTAATTACTGTTTTAAAGTATTACCTCTATTGTCAGTTTACAATTCTCCTTATAGTATACTATCTAGATCAATATATTCCGTTATACATTATATTTATTATTATATCAGTGCCGTATGATAATAGGGACGGTCGTATGTATTTACATATCACATGTATTGAGTTTCTATAGAATTTTAGAAATCATTTAGAAAGATATGAAGTATATTGATAAAGCAGCATTCAGCTGCTGAATTCTGGTGGTTGCTTCTCCGTCAATCTACACATGGTTTATAAATTCTATTCGAGATAATATACATATATTCATATGTACAGAAACGAATCCGTGCAATCGGTAATGCCGGCATTGTACATATCACGTCGACTATAAACCGATTACGTATTACAATTCGGACAAGTATTGATCCAGATTTATAATTCGAACTAAAAAGAGACATGAAATTTTGTATGTTCAAACTTATACGTACACATATGTATATCTACGTACACACTGTCATATAAAAGTCTAAAATATCACGAGGTCCTTCCTGACATCTACTACACATCGAGTAAGCCTCGCATATTAATTTCACGATTATCTTCATGCAATAATATCTTAGTTTATTTCATCGGGTAACGGTCCTCGATTTTTTCCAAATTCCACAAGGATAATCGTCACGCACTGTATATTGGTCGTAAGGTGACACCCAAGGCAGTCCACTGTTAACGTATACCTATAGGAATACCAATATACCTATGTATACTCTATTGTTTAATTTTATAAAAACAATTATAATAGAAACATCACAGGTACTGTAACGAACGATACGTTCAATATGAAAAACCTGTAATTAAGATTTTTAATATTTCTCTTATTTACACCTGCATTTCCTTTTGTTTATCACATCAGCACCTCTTATCCATTCTCATTCATTCTAATCTCTCAGGTTTGCATTTCCATTTCGTACCATTCTTCTCGAATATTTGTCTGTGGATATAAACACACACGCAGTACGTGATTCCTTCGTTCGCTTCGTATAATTTCTGCGTTATCTCTTCCGCAATGTCGCCTTGCTCTGATAATCCGTTCTAATCCCTCCCTCGTACTCTGACTTGGCGCGAGTTCGTATAATAATGCGCAGCGTTGCGAGGACACCGAACGGTTACGCGCATACACATACATTTATAAATGGATTGGCCCTTATAGTGTTGAAAATATGTAGGAGTATTTATCTATTTACATCAGTCAGAGTATTTATACTTACGTAAATTTATGAGCATTTGGATATGGTGACAAATGCCTGATAATTAGAAGAGAAAGATATGACTAAGGAGGTTGGAGAGAGAAATGTGCAAGATTTGTAGGAAAATGGTTGATTTGTAAATTTCATGATAGAGATGCTTGTAGGAAATTTCTATTTTGGTGTTAATTAAGGAGACGGATAATCGCGCAACTCCGTGAGCGATATCCTCGGAACGAAATGGAACGTCCTCGATGAAATTCTATTCCAAATGGAATTAATCGGTTTAATGACTTCTAACGTGTCCACCTTTGTTCTCGGGAAAGACCTTTCGTGTCTTGTTATAAGGTTTCTTGGAATACAAATTACTAGGGGCTACAGGCTACCCCTTTAAAGGGTTCTCTTTTCTTTTTGTTTTTGAATTACGACATATTAGATGGTTGGCTAAACACGAAATTGTTTAACTATTGTTAGGAACAGGTCTTGTAGTGGGGTTAATATTTCAACTAGTTTTTGAAAGCTATTTACATTGTTTTTAGGGCAGGGTTGGTGCTGAATTGGATATATTTGTTATATGCTTAGAAATTTTTATTTTATTTTATAGTTTTCTAAGTAGATGCAGTGAATCCACAAGTTAAATATGAAATTTGAGGGATTCTTCTACTTTCTGAATCATAGGAAGATAGTTCCTTTAAACATAGTTTACTTATGGATTAACTATACTTACAGTTAGATCAATAGTTATGTTACTTTGTAAAAAATCCGTCAACACGAACAATCATAAATGCCTGCGTTTCGTTTCCCGCGTGTAAAAATATTTTGTAAGTGTCAAAGCATCCACGTAATATTATTATCATTATACGACGATGAAGTCATTGCATATTTGGATGCAAATGCTGGGCTGCAGCTACTATTTGACATTTTTGTAGCTCTATTTTCTGTTCTTTCAGTTTTAATAATTTACGTTGTACTTCTAGTTCATTTTGTCTCATCATCATTTTCTCCTTATGTCTTCTCTCTTTGTTTCTTTCAGCTGTTGCAAAATTCTTCTCAATTTCTTCTAAGAATTTCTCAAACAATAATGGCAAAGTTCCATGCTGATCCAGTTCATCACCAGATCTTTTTACTGTTGATGTATTTGATGCAATCGATGTCAATGGATCATTTGTATGCTGATTACTTGCAGGATTTGACTGATCTGCAGATTTTGGTAAGATTATTGCATACTTTGCAGAGTCCGCTGGGTCTGGAAAATCATTCTCCTCCAGATAAACATGTCTAGATTTTTCAGAAAATATTTCATCCAAAGCTCTCTTATGTTCCCAATGTCCATAGTGGCGCATTCTGCCAGGTTTTTTAAGCCTTTCACGAAATACAAGATTTTTATATTTACGTTCCAAAACACGCCACTTATTCTCACATTTTTGAGGACTAAAGTAAAATCCATAGTTTCGCATTTCAACTGATATCATCTCAAACATTTCACGCAAACTACGTATTTGTGTTGTTTGGCCCACCATAGAGCGGTACTTTTTGTACTGGGCAATAAGACACGTAGTAGCTTTACTAGTCCATAGGTTCAAAGCACCAACATCTGCTGTTGATGGAATTCTTCCAGAGTTTTTAAATCCAGCAAAACCATTTTCATTATCCTCTTCTGCATAACACAGCAAACTAGGCTCCACTTTTATTTCCATTTGAGTATCAACTCCTTCGCCTAGGACAATAATATAAATAATTATTGCACAAAGACATGACTGTTACTTTTTCCTTACCTACTTCTTGTTCTGTAACAATAAACACTATGTTTATTTGTTTCAAAACATCATAATACTTGTTTTGCTGACACTAACCTATGAGTTTTAAAATTTGCAACAGACTAAACAAATTGGAAAATCTATGTCGTAAAATCTGTACAACAGTATTTGAAATATACAGCAAATACCCGCCGCTTTATCTGACAAATATTGCAAACCCTAGTTCCAAAATTGACCGTAAATTCCCATGTGTTTCAAACATCTCCATCCTTTAAAACATTAAAATAATGATAATTCACCTGAGTAATCGAACATTATTTCTGTATTTTTTGTTGAAATGTAAACTATGGCAGTGTAAAAGGATGTAGACACAGCTGTCGATAAGGAAAGTCAAAGATAGCAATTATGACAATAATAAGATCTAATTGATAAATGAAAATGGTGGCTTAACCGTTAAACCAATATTTTAAAAAATTAATCTCACTGTTAGGTTCCTTCTCCATTTTGAGAAAAAAAATTATTGCACGGTGACGTGGGGACACAGTAAGACACAGGAGTTCGCAAAATACTTGAACGACGATCGCCGACGAGTTTGCGACTGGTCGAAAAACCGAGGAAAACTTATCCCAAACCGGTTTTCAATGAAACTGGTTCCGTACGCGTTAAGAAACAGCGGCCATGTTGTACGTCATACTAGTAAAGCTGCGTCGACTCGAATAAAAGCATAATTCGCTAATAACCATAGTAAAACTTACGTTTAACCTGATCTTAGGACAAGTTTTGATAGTCGCCATTCCTGGCGAATCCTCTGTATACAATTGGAACTGCATTTAACATTTTACAAGAGATCTAGAGAAATCTACATAACCGATTGCAGCTTGGTAAGATACTTAGACTTCATAGATTTACCGTCGAGAAGTTAGCGTAAAATTAGAACATTCTATACATTAGTAAAAAAGTTCGAAGGATAATGAACAAGATGGCGCATCATATGTTAGCCAAAGAATCACGAAACCTCATGCGGTAAATCTTCCTCATTTCCTTTCCTTATGGCTACCCTCCTCTAATGAGATCTGCCAGCTGAGGTAAATCTATGACCGTCGGGAAGTTAGCGCGGAAAAATCAAAATTTGTATATTTATAATGCTTAAAAAAGTGCTCTTTAAATGCTCCATATGTTTCCGTAATTGCTCCACTGCTACTATGCAGTGATTAATAAATATTCATTAAAACAGAAAATTTTTATTTTTATTGAAATTCCAAATAACCGAGCAGATTTTCATATGAGTTTCTTATGAATTAATTGCTCCCGCTTTGCTACCAATTGCTCCACAATTAGTTTTTTATTTAATTAAAGCATCTTTAAATGATAAGTAAAATTTGATTTTAGCTCGATTGCAAACGTGAACATTATGATTGGTTTGCGAACACACCTATGACAGCTGCGTTCTAAGATCAGCCGAGAGTGCGCGAACATCGTTGCCTCGGTTCATTTTCGAACACACTTGGTCAATTCAGGACTGGTCAATTCCTTTAGATCAGTATTAACTAAACCGGTTCAAGATCGCCGTGTATACGTAGTTTAAGGCCTGTTATCTTCTGCGCGCTTCAATGTATAAACTACGTTTATTTTCAAAATACAAGTATCTGATTGGCTAATAGCACAGTTAAGCCGAGTTTATGCATTGAACCGCGTCGAAGAAAACGAAGCGTAAATCGGTTCAAGCCGCCGTGTAAAAGTAGTCAGTGACGAACACAGGCATTTCCACTTTCAAGAAATATTTGGGATTTATCAGTTCCTTTAGATGAGTAATAATTAATCCAGAATAAGACCGTGTGAACGTGGTCGATGACTACAATCACACGACGGTTTTATTTCGGTTATGATTTTACTAAAAGATAACCCTCGGTTAACTGGCAAAATTACATGTTTGAACACGTTAAGGCATTGATTCAGCCTAACAATTAGAGTACCTTATTTTGATTCCAGGTGATTTTTCTTACTCGTGCGATGTATATTCCATTGTGAAAATGGTTATCATGTCCAATGTGACTTTATGTATGATTGCTACGTATAAAAAACACATTTTTAAATGATTTTGGACAATAGCAATCTCATTCGTTATCACTAGTAAATATGATTATCTCTCATTCTCTCAGACTAATTATTTTTAATCGGTCATAAAATATTTGTTAAGGCAGGGTTTAAATAAGGTATTTCTTCACGACTTGTGCTGTTAAAGAAAAAGGTCTATTCATAACCTTTGTTTTGTGTTACTAGTTATGCCAATAATTATGAAAGTGACCTAAGTGACAATATGAATAAATTATGTTAATAATTGAACCATTTTTTTTTACTACGCACAAACGCAAAAATCTAATTATCGAAAATAAAAGTGATAGTTTACTTTTACAATATAATGAACGACACGCTTCTAGTTCACGTTTGCAATCGAGCTAAGTGAAAATCAAATTTTACTTATTATTTAAAGATGCTTTAATTAAATAAAAAACTAATTGTGGAGCAATTGGTAGCAAATCGGGAGCAATTAATTCATAAAGAGACTCATATGAAAATCTGCTCGGTTATTTGGAATTTCAATAAAAATAAAAAATTTCTGTTTTAATGAATATTTATTAATCACTGCATAGTAGCAGTGGAGCAATTACGGAAACATATGGAGCATTTAAGGAGCAATTTTTTAAGCATTATAAATATACAAATTTTGATTTTTCCGCGCTAACTTCCCGACGGTCATAGATTTACCTCAGCTGGCAGATCTCATTAGAGGAGGGTAGCCATAAGGAAAGGAAATGAGGAAGATTTACCGCATGAGGTTTCGTGATTCTTTGGCTAACATATGATGCGCCATCTTGTTCATTATCCTTCGAACTTTTTTACTAATGTATAGAATGTTCTAATTTTAAACAGTGAAAAATACTGTTTGCTGTAACATGGAAATGACAATATAATTCGAGGTTATTTGTATGTCATAATATGTTCATTATAAGCCATTAATTTCTCTATGCTCTTACACCATTTTTTATTATTGTTTATAATGTTCTACCGTTTTGTTTATATTAATATATATTTATATCTTAGCTTAGTTGAAATAGGTGCGTACTAAAGATTATAACTTCCATAAGAGAATATTACAAGGATAAACCTTAATAAATTTGCCGTTGGGTAAATTTTGGAGACGATTTCACTTACGTATTGGCTACTTTGAGGACATGTGGCTGTTTTGATGTGTGTCCTCAAAGAATTTTCAGCGTAACGGCTCTTTTGAGAGTCATAAAGTGGGGCGTCACACCAAATTGTGATGGACTTAGAAAAGGTTACGTTAGGATAGGGTAGAGTTCCAATGCTGTGACGTCCCTAGGTAGTAGTTTAAAAAAACCGCATCAGCTCGTTATGGTACCCTATTCTCAAACTATACGATCGGTAAACGTATTCGTATACTTGCACTAATAGAATTTCGTATTGGCACCATTTTATTGCATCGAGTGTAAAGCGTTGTACAGTTGTAAATGCAAATATGCATCGCATTTGACGAATGTAATACTGATATCGAACATACTCTAGTCTATGTATTAAACTACTAGCACTTGATAGATTCGAGACAATATACACTTAAATTCAGAAACTATAGAGATACTTTTATATACCTATATACAATACTGTTATTATATGGAGTTTATATGTCATCAATTATATTCATAATTTTGCATATGAAACTAAAATGTATATTGATCGTCTGACCAGTCAGATACTGGTAGACCTTCTAAATATTCGATAATGGCCAAAATTTTCATTGGATTTTGATAAAATAAAATATGCTGTGATATGGTTTATTAACGAAAATCTGATATACTCGTTTATTTTTATAGGTCTTTGTAGCATTTACCAGTTCAGATTTCTGGTGAATGTTTCATGTGCATACAGATGTTTTCTTGTAGGTAGAAGTTTGTATACTGCAAAATACTCTATGTATACTCATAAGGTAATGCGTACATGAACATGAAAATATTAATATATTTCAATTTAATGAAAATTCTGGGTATATCCAGTTGCCAGTTGACTCAATTTACAAATTTGACTTTCACACGGTTCTAATTATCAGTATATGATAGAATTTTCAAAAACTTCACACGTGTGTTATTTATTCAATCATAAATAGATCTTTTATCCTAAAATCGGTTTCAGTACATTTCTATCGGATAAAGTTACTATCTGCCTACCTATCGGCACCTGCATTTATCCATTTCCCAGGAGCCATACTGCTCTACCATTTTCCAGATCCCTTCTCAGATGGCAGCAGCATCGCTCCCTATAGAAATCTTCGTGCTAAGTATCCCTATTTCCGAGTAGCTTGGTGTATTTATTATTTCTTTTTTTATTTCCCAAGTACCGTGAAAGAATACAAAACTACAACTTATCCACGCTCTTGCTCCAGGTCCAAATACCAATAACTTTCAACTCTCCATATTCTAGTGGCATTCTCTATTTACATAGGAAATTTCTTACGAAGGGCCAATGTCTAAGGCTTATCGGTATATCTATAAAGGCAAATAAGCACATCGAATGCTGGCCATGGTTCCTAGCGCTACTGGTGAAGCTACTCGCCATTGGTTGCTGACTGGTTGGCTCTGTCGGAGCTCACGCTACTTTGTCAGTATTCCTTTATTTACGTTCTCTTCGCTCCATTCGTACGAGAGTGAGAGCTAGCAGCCAGCAGCAATGGAGAGTAGTAGCAATAGTAGTAGTCGTGGCGCGTCTGGCTGGCGGCCGTCCAAAATATCGACCTAAACCTCGGCCTGGTGGCACTCCATGCGTTTGCCTCGCTCTGCACTTCTACCTTCAAATCATGAAATTTTCTCTTATACCCATTTCTCCTTTTCCAAATCTTGTGAAACTACCAGAGCAGCAGATATCTATTTCTGGTTAAGGATACTCCAAGGATTTTTCTCTAGACGTGTACCTGAGATACCTCGAAAAATATCCTCAAATTCTTTCGTATACTCATCTTGAAATTTATTTGAGCGTGTACAATTTTTATTTTATTTTTCATTATATGCACTTGGATTTTCCGATCATTTCCATATCTCGTACCGGCGGCCAAAACGCCACATCGGCAATGGATGCAAACGCATTTGCGTGGAAGCGCTTATAAACTGATCTCATTTCGTGAAATTGAAACTCATCCCCGTCGCGCAACCCCTAACTCCTAGCTGGTGATGGGCTTGCGAAGGGGATAACGGACCACGGAACTTTTGGTCGAATGCGAAAGACGCCAAAGTAGTTGCAATAACGATCCGGAGGTGAAGGTGCACCAAGGTTTGATATTGGTGGTGGTGTCGGTTGATGTTGGTGGCTGGTGGTGGTGGTTATATAGAAAGCGGTGGGATGAACTGCAGAAGGTGAAGGGTGGCTAGGAGAGTTAGGACAAGGAGAAAAGAAAGAAGGTAGGAAATGCGCAGGGACGTACAATACATGTATGCTGAGGGTTCCAGAAGTGAAATCACGGTGCGGTACAGATTCAAGGGTACAGTTGCAATACGGCGCTTCTCCGATTGTCGTAACGTACTTTTCGCACGAGTGCTGCACCCGCCTTGACTATCTAAAATATTCTGGGTGGCTGAATCGCTGCATCTCAAATTTCAAGACTGGAATATTTCTTAGCAATCAGACCTTCAATCAACTTTTACTCCTTTTGTATCCACAGCTACCTTTTCAAATCGTTCTGTATTCTTAGGATTCGTCTACCTACATAGCAGTCTAAGAATTATTTTGTTTTCAATATTGGCAGATTTTACGCACACGCGAAATACATGCGTATTCTACGGTAAATTACGAATGACAATAGGACGACTGTGACCTTTTTACAAATTAAATTTCAGCTTGTACGGACGAATATTTATGGCTGTATGCATCGGCTTTTCTTCTAGTTATTTTTATTAGAGGCTGTTATGGTGTGATGGCTTCATTTTTTTTTGTACCGCAATCACTGACAACCCTTCGACTCACCTCCTTGAACCCTTCCACCGCGTTCGCCCCTCAGCTCCCAGCGTATTAGTTGCGCGCACTCCTTTGTTCCTCCCTTAGGAAGGAATCTCGGGCCCGCTTCCGTAGCTGCGGTCTTTTGATAAAGTTACGTCGATCGAAATCAACCCCTCTTCGCTTTGGTAATTAATTATTTGTCCTAGCCATCTTCAACTTGGTGGATTCTAGTGGTACTGTTTTTAGATGCTACCCTTGCACGATGCTCCTCTCAAGGATGGGACAGAGCATTTTGTCAGGTCGGCATTGTACATCACAGGATGAGACGTACTGCCAACATGGATAACGATAAAATCCTAGAAATCCTTGTCTTATATCTCTAAATTTATAAATAGACATTTTTCAGAGTGTCAACTATACTCAAGTCCAAAGATATAAAAATTGCAGACTTGACTTTTCTAAGTCAATTCAAAAGACGTTTATAAAAATAACATATTCATAAGGAAACATTTTGTTTATGGAAGAATATCGAATATTTTTGCCGCTCAATATTGTTTAACATCAAATTCTTCATTTGAACGATACTTGCAATATGTAAATAAATTATGTGACGTGATTTTTCGAATCACGGTCCCAAGGCGGCTCCGGTTACCGATACAGATAACGTTCTCGATTTCTGGTTCCCTTCGGGTCGCCACCCTGCTCAGAAGCTACGCTCTCGGGTTGATTCGTACAGTTACGTCAAGGCTCTCGTAAGATTGTGTCATTGTTTAGTTGAGGTCGAGGTGCTCGAATCTGCCGTGGGGAGATGGGCTCGACGTACCGAGTTGCCCGGCAGAGGAGAGTACCCGACGGAGACGTCTCCACGGACCGGCAGAAGCCCGGGTGAGATACCGGCGCCCCGCTGGAGATGGGCAAAGCGCTGTAGAGCGGGCGGAGGTAGTTTTGATATGGTTAAGGGCAGGAGAGGAACCTCCTGCCCGAGTTTTGTTCTCGCGATGTCCAGGCAGCCCGATGCCCTGGGGAAGCGGCCGTGGAGGATCTCCAGAAGTTACGTACCGATTCGTTAAGGAACGCTCTCGATTTGGTTTAAAGGGACGACTCGAAGGAGATAGAAGAGTTATCGGGTATAAGGCTCTCGACCAATCAGAATGATTAGTTCTCGGATTTGGCTATTGTCAAAGCAGTCTGTCTCGGGGCACCGACCGAGGTG